GAACAGTTGGGCTATATCATCTAATAGGATTCTTGTATTAGATTCATAAGTGGCAAAACATACACAATGTTCCGAGGTCCACGTGCTTTTGTGCTCGTACTAGTGTCAACTACTACTAAAATAATATGCCACTATGCCTAGGGTAGCCAATTTATTCAAGATAGCGATGAAAACTATAACATAATATATAAATTACATGTCAAATGACATCACTGACGACTAAACAAACTAGCGTGATTGGTCCACGGGGAATGTATGAAAATTGTATGAACTATACCTAACAAAATTACAACACCTGATACTGAGATTGCCTGAATAAATTATGAGTCGGTAAATGCTGTTAAAACTTACTTCGCTTAGACCAGTGTCCCTTAGAAGAACGTTGGATCGCTATATTCAGTCATGTGAAATGCGCTTAGCATACGCATATATGATGCTATCCCATAATAACACCAATAACCTCCAACCTGCATCGCTGAACATAACACAGCATTATGTGCTGATAGAGGGCGATATAAAGTAAAATTGAAAAGATGTTCAGCACACACAACACTGTTCCCTTTAATTTTTTTGAATCTTTAAAATACTGAGACAATTTGCCTATTTTCCCCTTGAAATGTTTTTTTTAGCATACAAAATGCATGGAAAGTTTCTCAAAAGACAAAATTTCACTGAGAAACTACAATTGAATCTGAGAAAATTGAGCGAAAATAAGGCTAAGAAGGAACACTGACACTCAACTTGGTTTTAATGTACTAGTAAATTAATCTTTTCAATATTAACCTAACTAGTGACATTGTACATTATTTTGACAAAGCATGTTCTTTTTTTATATTTGTCCTATGTGACAGAGACAAATTACTGTTCTTGGATGGAAACGTATTACATTTTGGTACTTTATATGTTTTAAAACATATATGTACCTTTTTTTTAGAAACTAGTCAAAAATGAAGACCTAGTTATTTATAAATAGTAAGGATTCATGTCAATTTCCTTCCAGACCCTGGATGTTATCGGAGAAACTGCATTTGGATATAAATTTAATGCAATATTGGAACCTAATAAAGAAATCACCAAGACATTTAGTGCTATACTCCAAGGGGCATTAACAGGATCAAGGTAAAATGTGAAAGAAAAATAATCAATATCATCACAAGCTGTTCCATCACATGCTGTTCCATTATATGTGTAGTTACCCCTGGGAAGCAACAATGTATGAATGATTCACAGTTGTCCCAATTGTTGTTGTTTTTTTGCAGCTGGAAACGATTAATTCCATTTTATCAACATTTGCCAACTAAAGAGAACCAGGCTATTAAAAAAGCAATCGGTTTAGTCAAGAAGACAGTATTAGAAGTGATAGAACATAGGAGAAATGAAATCAAAGATGGCAAAAGTAAGTTTTCAAGGTCAGACTGGAAGTTGTCAGGCTATTTACTTGCATATAAAAAAATTTTTCTAGTGTTTCAATCACAATAGTTAATATTGCACCAAGGGTTTATAAATACATGCATGTTTTGTCTCATAAGTAATT